AAAGATCTGAACCTGCCAGAAGAAAATGTGGGGAAGAGCTTTGAATGCGCTGGCACAGGAGACAAAATCCTGACTAGAACACAGATATCCCAGGTACTGAGATCAAGAATGAACAAATGGAGCCTCATGAAACTGAAAGGCCTGTCAAAGACACTATTAAAAGAACAAAACAGCGGCCTATGGAATGAGAAAAGATTTTCATCAACTCCACATCCAACAGAGGGCTAATTTCCAAAATATATAAAGAACTCAAGAAACTAGACATCAACAAACCAAATAATTCAATGGGATCCAAATCTAAACAGAATTCTCAACAGAGAAATCGCAAATGGCCAGGAATGTTCAACATCCTTAGCCATCAGGGAAATGCAAACCAAAATGACTTTGAGGCGCCATCTCAGACCTCTCAGAATAGTTGAGATCAGTAACACAAGTGACAGCTCATGCTGGCAAGGATGTGGAGCAAGGGGACACTCCTCCTTTGCTGGTCAGAGTGCAAATTTGCACCATCACTATGGAAATCTGTATGAAAGTTCCTCAGAAAATTGGGAATTGATCTACCTCAGGACCCAGAAATATCACTCTTGGACATATATGTTCCATCCTACCACAAGGGCATCTGGATAACTATGTCCATAGCAGCTTTAGTCACAATAGCTAGAAACTGGAAATAACCTAGATGTCCCTCAACTGAAGAATAGATAAAGAAAATGTGGTACATTTACACAATGGAGTATTATCTGCTGTTAAAAAAAAATGACACCATGAAATTTGCAGGCAAATGGATGGAATTAGAAAAGATAAAAAAGAAAGAAAAGAATGATTCTTAATGATCTGCTTTACTCATATCGGTAGGTGCCTTGTCCAGTTATCATCAGAAAGTGTTGTAATTGTAAAATAGCAGTACTTAAGAGAAAGATGCCATGTGACAAAGTTCAAGTGGAGGGGTTTTTTATTAGGGGAAAAGGATCGTAAAACAGGGGAAGGGGAGGGAGGAAGACTGGCCTCTGGATAAAGGAGCAGTGTGACAGAGGAAAGAAGCAGGAGGGGTGGGGGAGGAGAGAGGTGTAGGGAAAAGAGTCCAGCCAAAGAAACACACCCTGAGCAGCGTCAAAGAAACACACTTTGGCCCTGCAACCAGAGCCAAAGAAATATACCCTGACCCTGAAACCAGAGTCAAAGAAACACACTTTATCCCTGGAATCAGAGTCAGTGAAAGAAATACACCCTGACCCTAAAACTAGAGCCAAAAGGCTAAAAAGGACCAGAGAAAGAAATACACTTTGGCCCTGAAACCAGAGCCAAATCTGACCCTAACCCTGTGCAGAAAACTAACCAATTCCTGAGTAGGAGTTCTAGCCATCCTAAACTCAGCATTGAAATCTGACCAATGCCCACTCTGGAAAACTCCGCCCCCTAAGTATCCCTATATAAACCCCGTGTCTGTTCAGCTTCTGGCTGTTCATGCTACCTGGCTATCCTGGATTCTTCCCTCCCAATATAGCTCTTGAATGAGGTTTGGCTCACTGAGACCTTCTTTCACCTGAGCAGAGACGACCCTGGGTGGAGCAGAGCAGGACTGTAACACTTTTTTCTGGGGTAAACCTGCCCCTGGTGAACTGAAATTGTTATACTCTGTGTGTGTGTGTGTGTGTGTGTGTGTGTGTGTGGTGGGGCAGGGGATATGGAGCTGAACTGTAACAACTTCGCTGTGGAAGCCCTCTCCTGCTGGAGCAGAGCTGATACTGGGGGGAAGCCTTTCCCTGAAGCAGGACTGTAAGCTGCTATGCTGTGACCTGTGGTATTCCTTGGCTCCTGAGTGCCAGAATACCTTTCTATACAAGCTGTAACACCCAGTATTCTGTGATTCTCGAGTGCCAGAATATCTTTCCATCCAAGCTGTAACACTCAGTATTCTTTGGCTCTCGAGTGCCATGATCCATGCCTGGCCATCCCATCCGATCTATCGAAATGCTTGCAGGAGGGGGAGGGGCATGACCCTTTTCAATGGGAACATACTGAATAGGCACAGGCAGTGCTATTAGTGGCAGCAGCTGAGGGCATATCCTGTCAGGACTCCAAGGGCAGGCCAGTACACATGCCTAAATACTAACAGAGGCTTTGCCCATCAGCTGATTGGAGCGAGTAGATGCAGAGACTTACAGCCAAACATGAGTTGGAGAGACAAGAGTCCAGGTTAGAGGTCTCCATTAGGTCTCTTCTCTCAGAGCTCCAGCAGAAGAGGAAGAGGGGGTATTTTGGGAGTGGGGGTGGGGAGTAAAGGCCACCCAGAGAGCTCAGCCTGTGGAATCAACTAACCAGGGCTCATGGGGTCTCACAGAGACTAAATCAGCAATTGTGGAGCCTGCATGGATCTGTGCTAGATCCTTTACATATAATTTATGGTTACAGGGCCAAAGGGTCAGCCAAAGAAACCCACTTTTGTAGAGAGCTGCGAAGTGCCGCACCCTTAAGATGGCGCTGGCTTACACCTTCTGCTAGCCCGCCAGCAAGTGCTCTCTGTGATAAACAACTTCTTAAGAGCCCCACCTGTATTTGGTTAAGGCTGGATATCAGGCTTGCTTCCGAGTATGTGGACCTATCTGCATGTTCCACGTGGCATACTGGGGTTGGCCGCCCAAGGGCTTTTAAGCTGTGGGTTGGCACTCCCCAGGGTCAAAAGATTGTTCAAGGTTCCTGAATAAACTGCTTAAAGAAGAGTCCGAGTGTTGTGTCTTCCTTGCTGGTCAAGGCAGGTGCAACACACTTTGGTCCTGACACCAGAACCAACTTTGCCTCTGAACAACTGAAACACAAAACCAACTAACCCCTGAGCACCCTGACTCTGAACTCAAGAGTTTCCATGAAAGAAACACACCCAGGATCTGAAACATGAGCCAGGGAAAGAACTGAGAATCAAAGAAAAACACCCTGACTCTGAAACTAGTGCCAAAGAAACACACTTTGCTCCTAGAATCAGAGTCAGTGAAAGAAATAAGCCCTGGCCCTAAAAATTAGAGCCAAAAGGGTAAGAGGACCAGTGAAAGAAACACAAGCTTGGCCCTGAAATCAGAGCCATGTCTGGCCCTGACCCACTAAACTAGCCAATCCCTGAGCAGAAACTCCTCTCCCTGGAAAAACTCTGCCCCTAAGAAGTCATATATAAGCCCCTCTGCCTGTTCAGTTGTGGGGTGTCATTTACCACCCTGGCAGAGACAATCACTCTCTTGGACTCCTCCTTCACAAATAAACCTTTCTCAAAAGAGTCTTGGGTGAAGATCTTCATTTATCAGCAAAGAACAGAAGAACTTGCAGAGATGTTCCCTTAGGGGGACTAAGCAGAAGAGAGGAACACAAAACCAGAAGAAACTTGCTGAGATGTTTGTTCCCTTTAGGGGCTGACAAGGCTATAGCAGAAAAAATAACAATTCTCCAGAGTTGGAGGAGACTGCTACATTTCTGCAGGGGCTTCCCCTACAGCAGACTATAGCTGAAGAAGGCCCGAGCTCTGCTAAGATGTTCACTTAGGGGAGCAGAGCAGAGCTCAGCTCTAACAGCTCTCTCTAAGAGAGGAGCAAGATTGCTATGTCCTGCAACAAGACCAGCCCTCACGACACCCCAGCTTCAGGTAGCCTGGCTTTGGGACAAGTCAAGATACCTCTCCCTCCTTTGCAGCGCTACAGCTGTAACACTCCCATTGCTTACAATGGTTGTTAGCTTGGTGATTTTGTGGGACTCCTGACGGAGAGAGTGGGGGTGTCTCTGACTCTTTTGCCTGCTCTTAGAATCCCTTTCCTCCTACTGGGTTGCCTTATACAGTCTTGATATGAGAGTTTGTGCCTGATATTATTGTATCTTATTGTGCCATGTTTGGGTGATGTCCCTAGGAGACCTACTCTTTTCTGTGTGGAGACAAGGGTGGGGGAGAGGATCTGGAAGGGAGAGTAGAAGTCGGAGGAGTGGAGGAACAGGAAAATGTGGTCAGGATATATTGTATGAGAAAAGAATAAGTAAGCAAATAGGAATATATTACAGTATAAATATATACAGTACAAATATACTATGCAATATGTTTAATTTTTAATCTTCTTAATTTGGGAAGTGAAGGGAAGACCACGGTTCTCTATGTAGTCAGCCTTCCTAGGTATGGAGATTACAAGTGTATAGCACCATGCTGGGCAACTTCTTAACATTCTCCAAGTTTTGATATTAAGTACTAACTTTAGAAAACACTTGATATAGCACTGGGCATGGTTGCCCAGGCCTGTAATCCCAGTAGCACTCAGGAGGCTGAAATAGGACTGAAGAGCCTAGGTTCGTTTGAGCTATAGAAAAGGTAAAGAAATGTTTATAAACAATACTCACAATAAACCTAAAGGACTGTAATCAGAATGTGGAGGGGGATGGATAACAACAACAAAGAAACAAACACAAAAACCAAAAAACTCACTCGTTCACAAACTGCTCAAAATGATGTTCCACAGAAAAACAAGCAAAAATCTTAAGTAGGAAAGTCACAAACCAAGAAGCCTAACCAATGAGTATATCCTAGCTAAGTAATAAAAAGGGAGAGTACATTCGAGTCACAATGAGATATCACTTCAAAAGAAAAATAGACCATTCTGTATTTATGAGAAAACAGTCCAATTAAAGCCTTGTATTTTGCTTTTCAAAGTGAAAATTATACAAATATTGTAGTTTGGCACCATTAATGGGGGAGGGTGTCCTATGTGTATTTTTAGCTAGCAATAACCTGAAAATAATTCAATACCAACTAAAAATGGGAAAAATTACGAATGCTTATAAAACTAAAACTCTAGATTATGAAACTAAGTAGTAAGTTGTAGGACTATAAAGTGCACAAAAATGCAAGTTGATATATAAAGTTCAAAATATGCAAAACAGTACATTGATTATAACCCTAGATATGTAGAACTTTAAACAAAAGTAACATCTAAGTCATAGCAATAAGCAATAAGAACAAACAGCTATTGTCCTACCTTTACTGGTGAAATATGAGAATGAGCAACAAATCCATGGACATTCTCTATCTCTGACAGGTTCTTTTCTGAGACATGAACCAATTCTGGTCCTAGCACCTCATTAGTGACTTGGGAAATGTGCTCTGGAGGAGGTACCTCTTCATCCTGATACCGGTATTTCTGTGAAGTAAAGAAAACTATTAAATATGAAGAAACCCTAAAACCAAATGATGATTTTCATAACTATTCATATATTAAATATAAGCAATATAAAAGTGCTTCGTACGGTTTGGTTTATTCATAAAATTTGCGAGAAACAGGACTATTTTAAAAGTCTCGATAAAGGTTTAAAAAACTGCAATAGAAGCTTAAATATTAATGTGTTCATTTCTTTCTTATCCGATATATATATATATATATCCATACACTTTGTTCCCCCAAAGATTATTCCACTACCTCTTATTAACCCTAATAAAAGGAAACAGGAAGAACCCCTGCTTGACCACACCAGCAACCAGAAGTCCAGGTAGGCTACTCGCCCTTCCCCTCTCTTGGTGCCTCTCCCCCCAGAACAATCTCCAATCCACCCTCCCCTCCTCTCGGCTAAGTCCCAGCCCAAAACTTGGGGCAGAGATCCCCTGATCAACCAGAAGCCACGCCAGCTGCCAGAAGTCCAGCCCCCAGAGAGAGGGGAGAGAGGGGGAGAGAGAGAGAGAGGGAGAGAGAGAGAGAGAGAGAGAGAGAGAGAGAGAGAGAGAGAGAGAGAGAGAGAGAGAGAGAGAGAGAGTCAGCATGAAATTCTGCTTATATAGCTAAATTTGTCTGGTTTCTTGTTCAATTAACTTGCACTAAAAAGAAAATAAGCCAGTCAGTCGTTTCAATTCAGAACTGAAAATTAGCCCAGCAGAAAATAGCATTTTCCTTCACCTAACAAAATAATCTTAATCACCATGTGTGCACAGATAGACAGGCCGACAGACACACATTTCTCTTTTCTTTGCAATCTTTTATTATGTGAGGCAGGGTCTCACTCTGTAGCTCTGACTAAGTAGACCAGGCTGGCCTCCAATACAGAGTCACAAAGATCTGCTTGTCTCTGTCTCCCAAGTGCTGGGATTAAAGGTGTGAAATGTGACACCCAGCTCTATAAAAATCTTTTTTTGTTTTTTTTTGGGGGGGGTGAATTGTTGTTTGAGACAATTTCTCTGTATAGATAGACCCAGTTGTCTGGTAACTCAATCTGTAGACCAGGCTGGCCTCGAACTCACAGTGATCTGCCTGCCTCTGCCTCCTAAGTGCTAGGATTAAGGGTTTTGGGGGGGAGGGAAGGGGGTTATAACCTATTTTTAAAAGACTAACATAACCTTTAGAAACAAATTTACCTTACAACACAAATAAATTATAATAGGAACTGGAAAAAATATAGTGCATTTTTCAATCCAGGCTATGTTTGTTCTCTACAAAAAGTTAAAATAAAATAAAACACACTCAGATTAACCTACAATAAAGAAAAATTAAGGTATAACAAGAAATAAAACAATAGTCACACTATTATTGGTCAGTAAAAGCTATTCTTACAAATTATTAGAAAATTATTGTGTTAACAAGCACAAATAAATATGTTTAAAAGTCACACAAATGGGCCAATAACTTATAGGAAAATGCTCAACTTGTTAAATAAGCAGAAAAGGTGTCAGCATTCATCACATTCATGTTAAGTCTTTCTGGAGAGCAGTATGCTAATGATTCAAAGGCTCTGAAAGTATTATTTCTTTGCCTAGTAATTCTACTTCTAGGAATTAATCTTAGAAACATTATCAATGATACACATGTAGAAGAATAAAACTTTCTCATTCTGCACAAAAATCAACTCCATGTGGAGTTCACAACAGCTTTAAGAGTCAACTTAGATATCCACCTACAGAGTAATGGACAAAGAAAATGTATGCACACATGCATATAGAGAATTCTTTTAGCTATAAAGAAGGAAGTTTACAGAAAAATGAATGCACCTGAAGATAATAATTAGGCAAATAAAGTCAGTCTCAAGTAGGTAAAAAGTACATGTTTTATCTCATTTGTGATTTTTAGATTTCACATAAATACATAAACTCATATAAGTACACATGGTATGACTAACAAGAGAAGGGAAGTGTTGCATGGGAGAAATATGCTCAAATATACATTATATACGTGTATGTAAATGTCTTTATGTAACCCAGTGTCATTTTCAGTGAGTAAACAACAACAACAAAAAGAAATATTATCAATGAAGAACATAAATATTAGTGGGATATAAAATAGTGACTGGCCTGGCAAGACATGCCCTCTAGTGTAATAGTGGTGTGAATCCAGTAACAGGAACCATCAGGCAGGCAAACAGCTTCCTGACTACTACACAAGACAGAACCATATCTGCTACCATTACCAGGGCCAAAAAACCATGGCTGTCTAGGTCATAGTCTTTAGGGGAGAACCTAATATTATTGTTATGTTGAGTATATATAGTAAGAAACTGTACCCTAAGTTCTTAACACACACAGATTAGCAAATCTCTTAACCCTCAGAGAAGGTTCTTTTTGTAGCAGATACATGCATAACTCAGTTGGGTGGAAATAGACTCTTAAATACTCATGTCTCTTAAATTCTCTCTCTCCTCTCTCCTTTCCCTGCCCCCCTCTCAGACATAAGAATGAAGTGTCTGTAGGAACTGATAAAAAGCACTCAGAATTTACTCAAGTGCTTACAGCAGCACTATGCACAGTAGTCCCAAAGCAGCTCAAATGCCAATTAACTCATGAATAGACAAAACAACATATACATTCCTGATGTAATACTATCTCTATAAAGAATGAACTACAGATCTTTAACACATGGGTTAGCTAGGGTTTGTACTGTTGTGATAAACACCATGACCAAAAATAACTGGAGGGTATTGGAACACTGTCCACGAACAGTCTTATGAAATTTCTGAGTGTTTGTGAGAAAACTCCCAAGAAACCAAAACAAGAGTCTGTGATCTTGCTTCAAAACAAGTAACTGTTCTTGGATTACGCTTTCATGTTCCTCGCAGGTGTAGTGGATAGGAGAGAGTTTGCTTATTATTTGTTTATATGCCTGTATGGAAAAACATGTTTTTGCTCCATGAATCTTGCTTGCCCACCAGCGAGGCTTGTCCTTGTGATTTACACTTTACTCATGAGCCTTAAGTCTGTCTCATTTACCTGCTCCACTCTCCCAGGTCCAACCACCTCTAGAGCGGTAAACAGGAAAAAAGGGTTTATTTCATTTTACAGTTTGTAGTTCACCGCTGAGACAAGTCAGGGTAAAAAAATATCAAACAGGGCAGGAACTTGGCAGCAGACACTGATGTAGATGTCATGGAAGAATGCTACTTACTTACAGGCTTGTCTCTCATGGGTGGCTCAGCCCGCTTTCTTCTAGCACTCAGGGGTAGTGACAACCACAGTAGGCTGGGCCCTCTTACATCAATTATTAATCTGCCCACAGGCCAATCTAGTAGAGACAACTTCTCAGTTGAGGTTTCCTATTCTAAAATGACTCTAGCTTATGTCAAGTTGATATAAAAACTAGCCAGTACAACACAGCAATCTGAAAACATTATGCTATATATAAGAAACCAAACAGAAAAGCTACTGTTCTAGTTTGCTTTCCATTTTGATAAAAGCCACGACCAAAAGCAACTTTGGGAGAGAAGTTGTTTCATGTGACCAGATATAGTACATCACGTGAGGGAGGCTAAGAACTTACGCAAAGACCATGGAGGACCGCTGCATATTTGCATGCATATATATAATCTAGCACCACCTGCTCAGGGGAGGCACTACCCACAGTGAGTTGGGCCCTCCCATATCAATCATCAATCAAGAAAATGTTCCATGGACTTGCCTACAGGCCAGTCTGAGAGGCAATTCCTCAACTGAGGTTCCCTCTTTCCAGATGGCCCTGTGTCAAGTTGACAAAACACAAACAAAACCCCAAATAAACCAGTAAGGCTACACATTATAAAACTGCGTTTATAAGAAATGTTCAGACAGGTAAACACACAGACCCCGAATATAGACAAGTTAGCCAAGAAGAGGGATAGGAATCAACTGCTAATGTGTTTGGAATCTCTTTTGTGCACAATGAACACATTCTGGAAAAATGGCAGAAATCGCAGAACCTTCTGTGCACAGAACTATATTTTCTACAATGTACCACCAGACTTTTTCTTTCAGGTCACCAACCAGCTTCCAAATCATGACACAGAGACATTACTAGTTTTGAATGCTTGGCCTACCTTAGGCACGTTTCTGGCTAGTTCTTTTAACTTAAATTAACCTGCTAACCCATCCTTTGCTTGGGGGCTTCTTACTCTACACATTTTTTCTTTCACTGCTTCTTGTGTCTAGCTGGTGGCTGCCTGGGTTTTAACCCCAGAGAATGTCCCTTGTTCTCTCCTCCTTCTCCAGCCTGGATTTCTCCTATGTATTCTCTGTCTCTTTGCCAATCCTTTCTCTGCCTAGCTGTTGGCCATTCAGCTCTTTATTAGACAACCAGGCAGGCAAGGTGAAACAAATGCAACACATCTTTAGATAATTAAGCACACATCTTTACATTGTTAAACAAAGGCAGCATAAACAAAAGTAACACACCTTTACACATCTAAAATAATATTCCACAATACTACAGTGGTAAATTTCACCTAATATTTGCTGCAAATAATCTTTCTGAAAATCAAAATATCCTACTTCTAGTTAGTGGAAAGCTTCGTCTATAACTGTGAAGCATTTCATTTTCCTCAGTGACACAAGCACAATAATACTGTGATTGTTTTCATGTTTCTATCTACTTTCATTTGCCTTGTATGTTCATCAGTTGCTAGCTATGAACTAAGATGAAGATATTGCCATGTGCTCTTATGATGGGACTTACCAAGTACATGCTGCAAAATACTCCATTTAATAATTAAGTGGATGAAAATGCTACATTTCACTGCATGCTGTACACCTTTAATTCCAGCACTGAGGAGGCAGAGGCAGGCAGATCTCTGAGTTCAAGGCCAACCCAGTCTACAAAACCAGTTCCAAGACAGCCAGAGCAGTTGTTACACAGAGAAACTCTTGTGGCAACATGGGTGGAACTGGCGATCAAGTTAAATGAAATAAGTGAATCAC